AAGCATATGAGATTGCATGTATCAACCAATCGGCTGACACTATTTCGACCAAAAATTTTGTCCACTGATAAACCTACTTGTAACTAGCATTTCCTGAAAGTTCCAGCTTAAAAGAAAGTTTCTTTCAAGAGATATTGAATTTTCAAAAACTCATATCTCAACGAAGAAAGCATCCTATTCAATTGAAACATCTAGAGTATTTCAGTTACACGTACGTCTATCTATCTGCAAAATTTCAGATCGAAATATAGTCAGCCGATTTGTTCGTATATATAGTATTTTAGGATTAAACTTCAGTAAAATTGTCATGGTCTTCAGACACGATACATCTATAAATAAGTTCTTACTCTTCCTTACTTTTGTATTTGTGTGTATGGTTCTATTTCATCTGCTCTTATATTGTGTCGCATATCTTTTATCTTCTTCTTTTTTTTTCTTTTTTCTCTTAATGCATTTCCCTGACGGAAAATATCGGTATGACCTAGCATATAGGAACGAGTAAATCCTTCAGAGTAAGAGAGACGAGTTGTGTGGGCATAGTTTATTGCCTCGTGGGTGAGTGTCGTTTTTATATCATGGAAGACCTTTTCCGTTCTGAAGAAAACATCAGATGGGAAATATCACGACACATGCTAAAGACGTACCATAAGATATTATTATATTGTGTTATACATACCGGATGGCCAAAAAGTCATGCACCCAAGAAAAAACTGAACATCTCCGCTACGACTCAAGCAAACGGGCTGATTTTCGTACCAATAATAGAGATATATTCACATTTTAAATCCATACGAACAAAATACCACCAATGATCTTAATAAAAAAAATTTTACTTTTTCACAGATAGAAGAAAACAATATACAGAGTGGCACAAAAGTCACTTTGCGAAAAAAGATATTAGATCTCCACGATGGCTCGAGCAAACGAGCTAGTTCTTTTATCAATGATACAAGCATGTTCAACCTTTATATCCATAAAGACATGCTCAGAAAGATTCTTTTTTAAATAAATTGCTTTTTTTCCTATCTGTGAGAAAATAATTTTTTTTTCTGTTCAAGTCATTAGTGGTACGTAACTGGTTCATATGAATTTCAAGTGCCAATATGTTTCTATTATTGGTAAAACAAATGAACTCGTTTGCTCGAGCCGTAATGAAGATATTCCATTTTTTCTCAGGTGCATGAGTTTTGGGCCACTTTGCGATGAACGTCCGTTTTCTTTCTTTACTTACACAAATGTCCTAGGCAAAATTGAACTTTAGGCAAAATTAAACTTAGGCAAAACAGAACGCACTTAGTTTTTTAATTAAATAAACATATTATGTTCATTTCTCACCGATTCATACTCTTTGGAAGTGACCCAACACCAGATTCTGCTTCGTCTCCAGTGCCTTTTTATCCACAGATATGTAAACAAAGCATAAAAATACCTCACGACAAATACGATTGATAACGTGAAATAAATTGCTAACAGAGTTTTATAACTAGTTGCATTATTTTCACATTAATATCTTAGAATTCTATTGTGTGTGATGAACTGTAGGATTGAGTATCGATGTCTTTTTAACATAAGGTCATCTTGCACAATCAAAACTGTGTCTTCTCTAGGGGTGTCAGGGTTCACGTACTTTGGATATAACAACAGTGTTTGCGTGATCAATTAAACTATTCTGAGGGGTGGATAATTTTATCAGAGGTACACAACTAATCGATCGAATGTAATATCATACATCTGGGTGTGGGTGTGGGTGTGGGGGTGTGGGTGTGGGTGTGGGGGTGTGGGTGAGTGGGTGTGGGTGTGGGGGTGTGGGTGTGTGGGTGTGGGTGTGTGGGTGTGGGTGTGTGGGTGTGGGTGTGGGGGTGTGGGTGTGTGTGGGTGGGTGTGGGTGTGGGTGTGGGTGTGGG